ACTTGCCCTTGTTAAATTGCATTAAATTTATTCCCAGTTTTGTCTTGACCAAGCTCGATTGGTAGAGTCAAAAACAAAAACGGTATAGCAGATAAAATCTGTTAATGATTTGCTTATGGCTCACGGAGCGCTGCCCTGTTGTGTTTGTTTCCCTGCAGGACCAGCTGAAGCAGTGCTTCTCCAGACAGCCCGCCGGAGCCAAGGACACAGACACGCTCGTGCAGGAGCCCGACAGCCAGTACGGCACCTGGACCGAGCAGCGGCACAGCGGGGACAGGTAGGGACGAGCAGGGTCCCCTCTGCCCTGCCTTGCAGGCTTTTCTGAGCTCAGTCACGACAAGAAATGCTTTGGATGGGTATGTGTGTGCGTATGTCCACGTGTGTGGTTTGGGTTTTTTTAACTTCATGTTCAGTTTCAGTGACTATACAGTTTCTTCAATCTGTAAGTGAAGAAATATTTCTTTAATATCTGTGAATTTCACCATAAGGTTTGAAATTTACGCTCCATCCTCCAGTGAGAGTGCGGTATCACCACTTCTGTAAGCAGTGACAAACCCAGCTTGGACTGGGATAGATTTAACAAGTCTGCTGGTGAGTGAAATGCAAGTTAGATGGGTTTTTGGGGGCTAAAATGGTAGTAAGAAGATACGGGAAAAATAGTTATTCTCAATACGTGCAGCAGATGGCTTTGATGAGATTAACATAGGTAGTAAAACTTCCCTTGTGCTGTGTGTTTGCAATTATAATTAGAAATATACATTTTTGCATTTAGAAAGTGGTTACCTTCTTGTGCGCTGTGTGCCTCTGGTGGGTAGAACTAGGGTCCTGGGAAGATGTTGCTGAAATTTTGATTTCCTCCCTCGCAGGCAGCTAAGGAAGTGTCTGGTGATGGTCAGACAGGGCACACTAACAGTTCTGGGGTTTGTTTTATTTTTTTGTAAATTTGCTCTCTCCCATACCGGCTGGCATGACCTTAGAAGCTGTGCTGCAGCTAGGCTGGACAGCGAGATGGGTTTGAAATGGGCACCGGCTCCGACAGCGTGCGGGCACCTCGGGATGTGTCCTGGTAAACCCGGGGCTGCGGTGGCCACATCTCGCTGGCTTTGAAGCATTTCAGTGTTGTGGAGGATGAAATGGAATATCAGCTGAACAGCAGAGAGTGCTGCTGAGGCTTCCTGTTGTTAAACCATTCAATGAGACAAACCTCAGAGCGCAGTGAGAGGGTTTTATAATTTGTACCTGTTGTGTTTTCAGCTTGATCCGTGCTGTTTGAGCCAATATCTGAGCTGCTCAGAGTAGTATGAAAATAGCATTTTGTCTGGGTTTTTCCTGTCTTTTAAATACTATACTTGTTGGGATCTTACAGCAGACATTAATGTCAATTATGTTTGGAGTGTTCTGCACTTGAGAACAGTGCGTTATAAATATTTTATTGCTTAGGAAATCAGGGTAGCTTTCAGCTTGAAGCTCGGTGAGGTAAGTGACATGCCGGCAGTGGCATCCAAGCTTTCTGTAAAATTAACTCCGATGTCAGTATGCTCTAGGCGTTTTCTGAAGTCAGGTTCTTAACAAAGGTGCTTGTCTCAGCCAGACAGCGTCTGAATGTTATTTCCAACCTGGAGGATTCTTCCTGATTAGAAAAGCTCCACCTCAAAATTCTCATTTATTCAAGTATCAGTCTCCATGTCCTGTAGTTTTGTTTCCACTGTAAGAAATGTTTAGTGTTCTCTTTTTTTGCAGTGTAATGATGACAGTGTGGTGACTTTTCAGCGTTTTGCCACCCCCTTGCTCAGCTTTAGGGGAATTACGGGTGTATTAATTCAGGCACTTGGAGAGGAATGAGAGTAATGTGCTTTTAAATATTAACTTAATAATGGAAATCTTCCTGGAATATATTGAAACTGCATTTCGTTTGCAGTTTATTTTTTATGAAGTGGAAAGCAGGACAACTGCAGGCGCTCTCTTCTCTTGCCCTGGGTGATGGGAGCATGTCTCTGCCTTCGCCGCTGCCGGGGCTGTCGTCTCCTCTGCTGCTCAGCCCAGCAGCAGGAACTTACCGGAGACTTTGATAACTCCCCTTTCCTGTTTTGCCTGGCTCACTTCCCTTGGACTTTGTCTTGCCAGCCGTATGGCCTGTGGGGTTGCATTCCTCCTGCTCCACGCTGGGAGAGCACCAGGGACCAGGCACCGCGCCCTTAAAATGAAAAGCCACGATGACCACCTGGCACCTGGATAGAGGTGGTCCTTCCGCTAGAGAAGCTGCTGGGAAGGGGTAGGAAGGTCGTTCTCAGCTAGAGCTTAGTCGCTGCTGGAGTAAGCACAAGGGGCTGCTCTTGGCTGGCTGCAATGGGCTTTGGCAAATAACTTCTTAGAATGGCAGGAGATGGTTTAATTTGGAGGTGTTAATTGGGATTTTCTTAGCTTATCTAAAAGATTTGATTTTGGGGTTTTTTCTCAAGTGCTTTAGTAAGCTTTTTGCTGTTGACATCATAGAAAATTATTACTTTAGTCAGAAGAGTCTTCAGAAGGAAAAATTATTCTCTTACAGAAGAGGAATGGTGTTTTTAGGTGATGGATCTATACAACTCTGACTTGATAAGATTTTAGCTATTTCTTTCTTCAAATCCTTGAATTTAGGCTACAACAAAGTTTTAGAAAAGAAAACCCACTGTAGGGTATTGACGGGGATCTGCAGTTCCAGGACATAAAGGGGCATTCTTAAATGGAGATTATTTCTTGTGCAGTGCCCTAGGCAGGCAGTGAGAGCTGCCTTTGGATGCTGACTCCTCAGCAGCATAAGAGCCAGGATTCCTTTACTTTTCGACTCCTAATTTCACATGATGAAGCAACACATTCTTATGGCCTCTTGGCACTATTTCTAAAACTGATCACATTTAATTGCAATTGAAAGTAAATATTGATGTGAGTTTATTGCGTGTTTGTGCTAACCGTTCTGCTGATGCTTACGTGCAGTACACGAAGGATGATTTTTCAGAGAGAGTATCTCTAAGTGACACCTGTTGCTTATGGACATGCTCATGAAACTTGAAATCTTGATGAAGTAATAGAAGAAGATGCATAATACATCTCAGTAAAGAGAACTGAGAACATGTTTTAAATTTCAATATTTGACCATACAGTTTATTTCCATGAAAGGTGATCAGTCTGCAGATTGTCTTCCATCCCCACGTTCTTCCATATTCTAGTGTCTCTAAAGCCTGCAGATACCAAACATCATTCAAAGCAAAAATACTGGACAAAAACTTCCCCCTGGAGCTCATTAGTACCGTTTGTTAATTATCCTGGGGCCCAGGGCTGAAGGAGGGCAGAGGCATTGACTCCACTCGTGTGCTGGAAGCTCTCTGCAGCATTCGCTCTGCCGGACTGGAAATGGTATCACGTACTGCTGCTTGAGAAAAGCTGTTATTCAGCTGTAAACTCCTGAGTGTTTTACTCCCAAGGCTGCTATTGCTGTGAACTGTACCAAATGCTAAGGTCCGTTGTTTAAAACACATATATATTCATACATACATGTATAGGGTTTTTGTTTTACAAGTTTTCGTAGATACTTGCTCAAGAAAAGGTGCTTAGGAAATGGTATCACGTACTGCTGCTTGAGAAAAGCTGTTATTCAGCTGTAAACTCCTGAGTGTTTTCCTCCCAAGGCTGCTATTGCTGTGAACTGTACCAAATGCTAAGGTCCGTTGTTTAAAACACATATATATTCATACATACATGTATAGGGTTTTTTTACAAGTTTTCCTAGATACTTGCTCAAGAAGAGGTGCTTAGTAACAGAGGACTCCTGTTAAACAGAGAAGGAAAACCTGAACTCCTTAAATACTTTAGGTTTCGATTTTTAAACTAGAAACTCCGAAAATTAGAAGCAAGTCAGCCCTGTTTTTACTGACAGTAGAGTCTTACTGTGTGTCCTCCAACCTCCTGGAATCCAGCCTGTGTGACAAGGGGGGACACAGAGCTGCATCCAGCCTGCAGTCCTGCCCCCGCCGCTCATCTCGCTCAGCCTAGGCAAAGGGAAGAGTTCTGGGAATGCACTGGGAGCATCGCAGCACCGGGGTGCGGGTCCTGCCGCCCTGGGGCTCTCCCCCAGCACCCCAGAAATCCTTCGCTCGCAGAGCCCTGCCTGAGGGTGCCACCTGCTGCCCACCTCAGCCATCCGCTCCTCCCAGCATCCTTGGGAGAAAAACACCTCTGGCTGGGCAGTGCTCTCCAAAATACACCCTGAGATGGAAGAGAAGCTCTTAAACAAAACAAACAAAACAAAAATCTAGTACAGCTCAAGTGGAGGAGGTGTTGGTTGTGGGACAGCACCAACAGAGGTGCTGCTTTCTGTCAGAACCCAGGGGATGCAATTTTTTAAACAGCTCAAGTGGAGGAGGTGTTGGTTGTGGAACAGCACCAACAGAGATGCTGCTTTCTGTCAGAACCCAGGGGATTCAATTTTTTAAAATCCAGTGTCTCTTAACA